CTTCTACAATGAGTGCTACTGCCCAATCTAACTATAAATTCAACATAGTGCAGGTACATATAAATGCCATTATAGATTTTTAATTAGCATTTCTATAATTCCTCAAGTGGCATAAAAGAACATATTACTTTAACTTGTTTTTATAATCAACAGACAGGAGTGCACCACACTCTAAATCCAGATCAGTATAGGGGTATGTTTGGCTCAGATGGACCGAAATATGCCAGGGATGTTGATGATATTATTACTTATGGAACAACGGGTCGCGTTGCTGGTTTTATTGCTGAAGCCATACAGGTATTGTTGTTGTACGAATATAAGCCTATGACACCCATGCTGTCACAGGCTATTTTTGCACACATCAGTTCTGGACCAGAAGATCTGGAAGTAGGAAAACCAGAACTGGTTCGGTTTTCTATGGCTCCAGTTCCAATTCTAAACCGTTTTTCTACTTTTTATGATAGAAATAAAAAAATATGCAACTGGAACCATTTTAATCTGGGTCGGTTTCCTGTTTCCTCCTTTCTGGTTCTGAACCGGAGCATTGTCCATCCCTAATTGGGCGTGATCATGGACCGAATCTAGAAAGAAAAGTGGTGGCATGCTTGCTCTAAATAGTTTAGTGTACATCTTGTTGATTTTAAGGAAATAACAATCATTAGCTTCAGCACAAGATATGTACTTGAACATATTGAGGTCTTAACAATTTAAGAATAGGTGATCCCCACCAGGGGAGTGTGTAAAAAATGACTCAGTCCTTCCCGATGAAGGAAAGACTAACGACTACGCAAGAAATTTTATGATCCATGCAATCGATTTGTCCTTGAAATTTTACTATTGTTTTTTTTAAATGACAGGGTGTTGGAGGAATAATGGAGTTGGCCCCGGGTTACTTGCCAGCTGTCTATAGCAGTATCAGAAGAGCAGGAGGCCTATGTATAGCAGACGAGGTCCAATCAGGCTTTTGTCGGACAGGGAGCCATTTTTGGGGATTTGAGGCCCATGGAGTTGTGCCTGATATTGTTACCATGGCAAAGGTAATATTCTTTCTGGCATCCCATCCCAACAACATCGAGGTGGATACATTTATGATGGCCTTTTGTATTTGGTATATTTATCAGGGAATTGGAAATGGCATTCCACTTGGAGCTGTCGTCACCACTGCCGAAGTTGCAAAAGTCTTAACAGACCGGAGTTACTTCAACACTTTTGGCGGGAATCCTGTGTGCACGGCTGGTGGTCTAGCGGTTCTTAAAGTGTTGGAAAAAGATAAGCTCCAACAGAATGCATTCACTGTGGGGTCATATCTTAAAGAGCGTCTCATCTCACTGATGGATAAGCATGAAAGTACGTTTTCTTCTTTTATGTTCAGAACAAGTTAAGAATGGTTTGTTTGAAAACAGAACCTATCTATATCCATATAGCGTTTCTGCACCCTTTGGTCATCTGACTATTGTGGTATGACACTTATAGTATACATCCTTAAAATTGGTACGTGTTTTTGAACTTTTTCACATTTATTCCTTTAACTAGTGTACCAATAACACTTTGTTTGCCAACTATTCTGATGGTGACACTTTTGATCGTCCAACAGTTGTGATGAAATTCAAAAGATAGTACCAAAAATGTCATTGGAGGACTAAAATCTGTTACATTCAAGGACATGTACTAAAAGTGTCATTGGTACAAAAGCCAAAAGTGGAAAAACTCATGTTAATTTGCAAAGAGATGAATATGAAGGGTCAAGATTGTATTCAAGAGTGCCACATTAATTAAGAATGATAAACCAATATACCTTTGATAGTAGCAACTTAAAGCATATTTCGGATTTTGCAGTTATTGGTGATGTGAGAGGACGTGGTCTGATGCTAGGGGTTGAGCTTGTGACTGATAGGAAGCTGAAGACTCCTGCAAAGGTTGAAATACTTCATCTAATGGAAGAAATGAAAGGTGCATTTCTTTTTCTTTACTCTTCTTCTGTGTTCAGGTCTGTTCGGAAAACGGAAAAGTGCTCGAGAAAGAAATTCGGGAGGAGAGCATTGTATAAGTTTGGAAAGAAAGAAAATGTTGATGAAAGTAAAATATTGGGGTCAAACTCAATAATCTTAGGTTTTATATTTGCTAGTATTATTTTTTATTCATTTATATTTATAAATGCTAAGAAATCTATAGATATGTAAAAAAAAGTTTTTGTTTTCCCTAGTACTTTCCGAGATTCAAACATAGCCCAAAATTGTTCATATTATATCTGATAAACAATTATTGTTTTCAGAGATGGGAGTACTCGTAGGAAAAGGTGGATTTTTTGGGAATGTATTCAGAATCACTCCACCACTCTGCTTCACCAAGGAAGATGCTGGTTTGTCCTTGATCTTTATAAGGAGTATATTTTAGTATTGCCATTACAATTCTTTCTTGATTTTTAATATCTGATTGGATCCTAATCCCATGTTTTACGTTTGTTTTTAAAGATTTTCTTGTAGATGTGATGGATTACTCTATGTCAAAGATGTGAAGTGTGTAGGAGATAAACAAAAAGATCTGTCTACCTGTACTTGGCCATTCAACAACCTTCTTCTCCTATGGACTCCTTATTCTTCTGTCATATATTACTGTTGTTGTTTGTTTAGCCATCACAAACAAATAAGTGCCATATATATATGGCAGGGAGATTATGAGACATCACCTCGTTGTCTCTATCTCTCGCACATTTATTCTTTTTATTCTAAATAGTAGACGTGTATTATGGGTAAATAGAAACCTTTAGTTTATTCTCAAGACTCAACTTTTGTGGACTCAAGTTTGTTGTGAAATTTCCGTCTTTTGTCATTCGAGATTGCAAATTCTTTTTGTATGACATTTCTCAAAAAGGTTCTCTTTGTGAGATGGTCTGCGAATGGAGCTGCATGGCTCTTGCTTTCATGTCAGAATAGGGGACCAATGACCTCTAGCCCAGTTGATTGGAGAGATGATGTATTATGAATTTTGTGACTAAAGTATTTCAAATCCCCCAAAGACTCCAGTAATATTGTTCAATATTGAGGTAATAGATGACAATATGAGGGGAATTCATCTAGGGGGATTAGCGATCGGCTTGAGCATGTTTTATCTCTTATCAGTAGGGCTGGCAATATCACCCGCACTCGTGGATACCCGGTCAACCCGAACCGAAAATATGGATGAAAACCCGAAGAAGTATGGATGAAAAATGGACGACGGGTGGATCAAAAGACGGGTGGATTGGGTGTGGAGGAAGGTTCATCCAACCCATCACCCGACCCATCCACCCACATGTTGACCCGCATATAAGTATATACTCCCTCCGGTTCTAAATAAACTTCACACTTTCCTTTTCGGGACGGTCCAAAATAAACTTCACACTTCCTTATTTCCTTATTTGGCAAAGAAATCTACATCAAAACAGTGTTAAACAGTGCCAAACAGTGTCTCAACAGTGCCAAACAGTGTCTCAGCAGTGCCAAACAGTGTCTCAACAGTGTACTCTACAGTAAAGTCAACTTTATTTCCTTAATAACTGTGAAGTCAAACACTGAAGTTTAAAAAGAACCGGAGGGAGTAATATATAATATATATTATATCTATTTAATAATATATAATAATAATAGTTAATTGGTGAAACAAAGATAATTGGAGAGCTTCAAGAAGTGACAATTAAATAGCAAAAATAGTTTTGTGCCGATGCATAAATGCAGAATTTAACAACTTGAAGAAGTTTATGTCTATTTTGTTTAACATTCAGTTTTTTCTTTGTCATCGGCAGTGAATTAATGATTGTAATATACGTAGTATTTAATTGCTCATGTTTTTGTTGTTATTTTACAATGAATTCTTAATTTTGGTTTTTAATTATCATGATTTCTTTTTGTATTTTATTTATTTTGTCTCAAGTTTGACCATTTATATTTCACCCGCAACTCACCCGATCCACCCGACAACCCGTTCAAGATGGATGAGTTGGATGTGGATGTAATTTTTACTAGATGATGGACGGGAGGGTGAAGTATAAAAAATTAACGGGTGGACATGGATGAGCCTCCACCCGGTGAAAATCCGACCCGCTGCCACCCCTACATATCAGACTTCAACAATTATAGAATACTTAGAGAACATAGATCTATCAAACTGCATAAGTACATATCACATTGAAACAAATTTGACCAGAAGTGGTCGCAGGTAGGGGTGGCCCGGTTCCGGTCTGACTGGCCCGGGAACTGGACTGGACCACCACTGTGCGGAACCAGACCGGCTTGTAACCGAGATCAGTTCCGGGCCTAGGACCGGCCCAGGGTGTTTGTGTGGGCGGTTTTAGAAAAGCTAATATATATATATATATATATATATATATATATATATATATATATATATATATATATATATATATATATATATATATATATATATATATATATATATATATATATATATATAACCGGCCTGGCCCTGGTGGAATCCCAAGCCGGGGGCCGGATCCGGTCCATGCCTAGTCGTAGGTGATTGGATTACTACTTGTTCGTCCCGTTAAGATTGTCTCATATTTCCTTTTTGGTATATCTCTCTAAAATAGTCATATTAAATTTGGTAAATTTGTACGGAGTATGATTTTACATTATTCTTATTTTTTTTACTTTATCAATTCAATATGAACCACGTAAATCAAGTTTTTAATACATGCATGAACTCTTCTTATCAAATGTTAGTGGGATGAAAGTCGTATTAGTCATATTTTTATAAATAGGTTTTATCTTAGAAATATTTTTGAAAAACTTCTTAATTAACATTCACACGGTGGATTTGGGCACACTAAAAATAAACAAAATTAATACGTACGTAGTACTCCGGCCCAAGAAAAATTAGTTTTGCTGGACCGCCGCAACTGAGGTGACTTCATCTCCAACTCACACACCCACCGGCTCAGAAGTACCGCGGCTACGGCGCCCTCCCTGCACCTACCGTCCACCGCACCGCCGCACGCCACAGAACATTCAGACTCAGTCACTCTGCTAGGTAAAACAACCAACTCCACAACTTAATCGCAATTGAAAGATCAAATTAGGAACTCAGGAACTGTGGATATGGAGTAGCTTTTTCTCTCCGAAATTAATTGTTGGACTTGTGAACTGTTTCGTTTTCTGTTTTTAGATAGAATGCTACTCCCTAGTGTTTTGTTTTCAACTCCTTTTCCCAAAAATGATGAATTTGATGAAGCGGCAGAAGAGTGTTCCTATATTATCAAGGGTATCCAGGCCGGTAGCCGTACTGTAGACGTGTAGTGAAGTAATTTGTTAGTTTTGCTAGCAGATTTGCATGAACCCCATTACTCCCATTCCATTATCTTGATAATATAAGACTATAAGTATTAATCCATGTTTTAATATGAATATGACGGGTGAGGAGAAGGGGAGACCCATAAGAAAAAAGTGTGATGTATATACGGAGTACATATCTATAAATGTTTATATGCCGTAAAAAATGTAGTGAAAATTTATGTTTCAACCAACAAAACATAAATTCTTTAAACCCACTAAAGATATTTTCTTTTGGGCTGTTTTCAGTCCCAGATCAGATCTCCATAGTTATAAAATGCAAGCGATCAGACATTTCTCAGACCGGTTCAGACCGAAAGAAATCAGATCATCAAATTTCAGCCCAAAAGAAAACATCATAACTTATCATTGATATTGGTTCTTCCCGTTGCACAAGTGTTGGTTTTTATGCAATGGTCTAGCTAGGTTTATTGTTTATGTAGAAAAAATATCTTCTCGAGAAGTGACAGTGATATACTAACATCCGTTCTTTAATTTTTGCAACAATTGACTTTCACGTTTGACAACGCACAACTTTGACTGCAATTATATTTAACTATGTATTAGTAACCATTATAAAAAGTTGATATTTTAGAAATTCACATTGATAAGAATTCAATAACATTTTATATGTAATTATTTGATTATGTATATTACTAGAAAATCGTGGTCAAAGTAAAATCTGTGAATAATGCAAGAATCACAATGTTGCAAGAATTAAAAAAACGGATGAAGTACTTCCTAGTTCGTACTACTTAATTATGAAGAATGTATGTAAAAATCCGTGAACAATTTTGACTTGGGTGAAAACCCCTGTTCTTGGTAACCATGTGTAACCTTTACTTTTGTGTGTCACTTTTTTGTTCCAATTGAAGTTGTTTTTGACTCACATTGGATTGAAATGCTAGACCCCCTCCTGAATATCCATATGAATTGAATTCTATTTTAGTAGTATAATAAGACTACAAAATTACATTTTATTTTATATTAATACGAAGTATTATTATATTTAATACGGAGTAATTTACGCCTCCTATTGGCTATGGTCCTATTTAACTTTGAAAAGGGCTTTCAATATTTCAGGGCGGGGCCTGGATATACATACATGCATGTGATCGCTGCGCTAGCTCTTCATCATCATATCCATCTTGCTCTTCAATTATCTCATGGATATAGTAAAAAGCATCAGGGCATATTATTTGAATATAAGGAACTGTATTTCTCCCCCACCCCCTCCCAAACCGAATGAGGCAAACCTCACTTTCATGACTTGTCTGTTCAAAGTAGACACCAATTCTCCAGGGTGGCACAAAGCAATCATCGCTATCTTAAGAAGCAATAAAGGTACGTATGCATGCATCCATTGAATTGCATGCAATGTCATGTCTCTTTCTTAATAATACATACTCCCTCCGATTCTGATTCTCATTTACAGTTTGACTTCACGAATATTAAGGGAAAAAATTAACTTTACTGTAGAGGAAACTGTTTGGCACTGTTTTGCACTACTTGATATAGATTTGTAAGGCAAATAACTGAAATAAGGAAGTGTAAAGTTGATTTTGGTACTGACAAAAAGGGAAAGTGTAAAGAAGAAACAGAACCGGAGAGAGTATATACTTTATTTTTGTTATTGAACTTTGTCGACTTTACTTTTACTTTATTGTTTGTTCTAAGAAAATTGTCATTTTCATTTTGGAGTGATGAATTTGAGTACGGATTGGTGGAGCCAGAAATGTTAAGTGGGCGAGCTTAATAGAGGTCCAAATTTTAAAATTACACTATTTTTTTAACCTCTTTCTATCTACACACCGAGTTCAATTTATTTTCTCTTCTTTACATCAAATTTTACTTTTCTTATTTCACGCCTAACACATGGTTAACAATATCTAATGAAATAGAGGTAATTAGGGGAGTGTTTGGAACTGATTCTGCTTCTGCTTCTTTTTTAAAGCAGAATCAGAATCAGTTTTCAGAAGCTGGTCTCCCCCAGGCCCCAGCTTCTAAAAAAACTGATTCTAGGAGTAAACTAGAGCACCAGAAGTACTTTTACACCTTCACCCAAACGCTTCAACTTCTATTTCTACTCCCTGAAAAAATAGAAACGGTTTTAAGAATCAGGTCCAATTGTCCAAAGAGCTTGGTAATAATATACATATTCATTTTTTTTGGATGATTGCAGGAGTGAGAAGCTTCAAGATGAGTCAAAGCGGAGAGATAATGGTGACGGGGACAGGGGATCTGAACCTGCTCCTCAAAATGCTGAAAAAGACTGAAAAATCAACGGAGCTGGTTTGGGTTCAATCCGGCCTCTGCTCTTCTAACTTGTTCCTCATCAATGATAATGGCCAGCTGGGACCACCAGGACCTTTTGGTCTACAGTACGACTTCAACGGATTTTTTAGTACGATTCCGCCACCGCAACCGCCGCCTGCTTATCATCTCCCGCCGCCTCTCAATACCACATATGGAGTGGATCGTGATAGAAGCTACCTTCAACACGGTCGACGACCATTCAGACCCAACAACCAGGGATGGTTTTAGATGTGGAATTTCAAAATTTTCTTATCCTATATGTAATGTATTTTCATACTCCGTAATATTTTTTATAAATATATCCGTGTTTTCCCTAAGGATGTTTTTATAAATATATCCGTGTTTTCCCTAAGGATGTTTTTACTTCAACGTAATTTGTTAGTCTGATCTGATTTGGTCTAAACTGGTCTGATCCAGTAATGTCTGATCTTTTGTATTTTTATACTTATCCAAGTCTAGTCTAGATTGATCTGGTCTGAATTGATATAGTCCAGGACAGATTACAATCCAAGTATAGACATCCTAAGACTGTAACGTTTTATTTTCAATTTTAATTTATATTGAAATACAATACCGAGTATAATAGGTAAAATATACGAGGAGTTGTAAAATGAGAAAAATTTAATAAAACATATTTTAAAAGGTAATTCTAAATAATGCCCCAATTTTACCCCTAATTAAAATTAATTAATTAAAGACTTAAATATGATTTTAATCCCTGCAAATATGACACACTTTGTTTTAGGTCCTTGCAAAAAAAAATTTTTGTTTTTCATCCTTGTAATATGCTTTATTTTGTTTTTAGTTCATCTCCTATTCAGAAATCACTCAATTTGAGAAAAAAGTTATTACGCATTGCATAAATCAACTAGAAACTTTTACATTTATCTTTTGATAATTTTTTTGAGACTGTATAATATAAGAGTTAAAGTAATATAAAACTAAGTATTCACATTTTTAAATATGTACTAAAAAACTTCTAAAAATTAAAATTAAACACTTTTTTAATAATATGACAAAGAATTAGATGATGTCTTTTAGTCAGAGTAGTTTTTTGTCAAACTGAAGTTGTTATCATTAGGGATGACAATGGGGCGGGGTTGGGGCGGGGGTTCACACCCCCATCCCCGCCCCGTTTCTAAAAAATCGCCCCCACCCCCGCCCCATCACCCACCACTATTTGACCCGCCCCAACCCGCTAGACCCACGGGTACCCAACGGGGGAAATATTCGTCAAAAAATAACACCGTTTTAGACCCTGACAGTTTTTCAAAAATTAAACAACACTCTTGGTAGCCAAAAAATCTTTTAGGTTTTAAGTGTCAATGTAATCTTATATCCCATTTCAAATCTAGAACACATTATACGCGTTTTGATTTAGTCATTTTATCAAACACTTTATTAGCATTGATTAGCTCTATAATATTTTCTTAAACCCTGCATTCAATCAACCACGATCATTTGACAGCGTCTAGGACGACTTATGGTCCCTATATTTTTAAGAGCCCTAACTAAAATCATAAAGATGGAATTCATAAGAAAATAATCAATGCATAGTAATAGTAAAAGAAGAAAACATTCACAATGTGTCTGAGGCGTTAAAGCTAATATCACTTTAAAACCTTCCCAAATTCATTTTACTTTATGATTTTGATAACCAATTTTACAAGATAGCTGAGTTATTAAACAAGAATTAGAAAGAACCATTAGGCACAACCCATTAGATAGGAAACCACTAAACCCATCGGGCCACCATGTTTTTTAATTACCTCGTATTAGTATTATTATTGTGATTATTATTATTATTAATTATTAATATGTGTGTGTATATATATATATATATATACGGGGGACGGAGCGGGGGCGGTGCAGGAGGTGCGTAACCCATCACCCGCCCCATATTTAAGCGGGGAGAAAATAATTCCCCCATCCCCATACCCGTCCCACCCCACCACCCGCCCCAACTCCCCCCACGGGATGGTTCCCCACGGGTCCCCACCCCCATTGCCATCCTTAGTTATCATTAGTGATGGACTAAAAAGAAAATTACCATAAATTTCAGGGATGAAAAAAAAAATTATTTCGCAGGGATGCAAAACAAAATGTGTTGTATTTGCAGGGACTTAAAACATATTTAAACCTTAATTAAATGTAAAATAATTTGTCTATCAAATCCCTATCGTCTTAAGATGATTTGCACTAAAGAAAAGCTCTGCTGCAGACCTGCGTATTCATTCCGATCACCATCTCCGATCCATATTTACCCTACCCAACTATCTTGTTCCTCTAACCAGATCAAAATTAAAAGACCTTCCGAAAACTAAGCTGCACATATACGGATTATTTCATATTACTTGACAAAAAGGCCAAACAAGAAACTAGGACTCCCACAGTCCCACGTACGCAATTAGCTGTTGTCTATGAAACAGTGGTTTTTCTTGTTTTGCTTACCAACTCGAATACTACCATATCCACCCACCATCCATGGATTTCATTGCTCCTCTCACCATAATCTTGATGCCGGGATCATCAATCAGATCAGGTCGTCCGGTTCCCTGTCATCCCGGTAAACGTTTTTGGAGGGTGGCAACTGGCAAGGAGAGGCCATGGGATAAAACTCTAAAAGCCTATGTATGAGAAAAAGTGAAAGATACGTTTTTACCTGCTCAGAGCCTCATCGGAAACAAGCCTAGCTTACGGCATCAGAATCATATGGGTAGGGATATAACAGGAATTTTATTTATATTTAATTAATTAATTTTAATTAGGGGCTGTGTTTAGTAAAATTGGGGCTGCATTTAGAATTATCCTAATTTAAATTTAATTTTTACATAATTTAGTAGAATGAGCCAATCTAACCACTTCAATCAGAACTTCATACATTTCAGCATAATCAGCTAAAGAAACAACCATGAAAGTAGTAATACCAAATGAAAGAATGTGAAAAAGTGATTTGATGAGAAAAAACTTAACATTGTAGCAAAAAAAAATGTTGGGAAGATATTATGGAAAAATTGACAAGAATAATCTCACCTTTCACTGGTCTTCTCATAATAATCCTACTTTTAGGTAATCTCAGAATAATATCACTTTTGCACTCCATCTACTACTAACACGGGCGATCTAAGTGAGGCGATGCCTGTGAAGTAGCGGCCCCGGGCCTAAGAAAGGCATGAGAGAATTGTGTATGAATTGATAGAGCAGGGGATTGGAAGTGAAACAAAGATGGTGTACGACCTTCATGGAGCTAACGAAAGTTACGAAACCACAGAAATCGGATGCCGTGAAAAGTTCGTGAGGTTTAGTTAACGGCAGATGCGGGTAAAGAGCATAAACATATAGCCGGAGTACGATGCCTTCACCGTGATGTACAACTTTGTATAGCTATGCCATTACCTCCAACAAATTTTTCATGACCATAAGGGTACTAACTTTCATTGGCTTTTATAATTTTGTAGATATCTCCATTTGTGTTCATATTTCATACTCCGTTTGTATAGTAGATAGTAGGTACTGTAATGGTCTGCAAATTTGGAATAACTAGCATTTTGAATATTGTATTTATTTTGTTTTAACAAAGGTAGCTTTACATAGCATATACTCCCTCCGGCTCGCAAAAAAGTTCCTGGTTTGATCTACACACATATTAAGGAAATAAACTTACCAGAGAATAAATTTTACTGTTTTAACACTGTTTCAACACTGTTTGACACTGTTCTGCACTGTTTTGATAGATAACTTGTGATTTAAAGAAAAGGAAACTTCTTTTCGGGACTGCTAAAAAGGGAAAACAGGAACTTCTTTGCGGGACAGAGGGAGTAATGGCTAAAAATGGAATCACTCATAATTGTTTTTAAAAGTACTCACTATTCACAATCCCCAAATCGCTATTTATAGTGATTTATTTAATTAAAATTAAATAAAAGTAACCCATGATTTTGTAAGGTGCAATTCTATTCACAACCTCCAAATTGGTTTTTACATTAATTTAATTAATTAAAATTAAATAAAAATAACTCCAATATCTAAATTACCCTTATATAGCAATGGTTTGAAACGATCGGTTAAGGAATGATTACCTTGTCTATAAGAGAAAGGCAGAACTTGAAAACCACAAGTACATGTGCCAGAAACCAAGAAAGCCAGAAAAATAGAAACCTTTGGAGAAATAGAATTTACAAAATCACTTCACTCAGGTGGTTGTTAAGATAACGTATAATAGGTATTATATACGGAGTAGTTTTATGCTATAACTTTCCATCATTTGCAATGGAGCCAAAGACTTACTATTTTTTGGTCTGGGAATATGATGGAATAAAAAAATTGGCTCACTAAACTGTATGCGCATATTTTTTATGAAGCAGCAGTCGATCCAATGCAATTTTTGACGCGATTTTCACCATGAATCATTCATAAACAGTCTCTTTGTGCTTTAGCACATAAGTAAGACTGCGTACATCTGACACCCTCTTACCCCATCGTAGATGGGAGCCTTTGCGGCACTAGGGTAATGATGATGATGAGTAGTTTTATGCTATAACAACACGTTTAGCAAATGAGTGCAAAAAGAATCCCTTTTTTAAGCCTACAAATGTTTAGGAAAGGTGAGAAGGAATACGAGCCCCTGCAGCCCAGACTTTAGGAAAGGTGAATGATGAAGGAACACAAGCCCCTGCAGCCTAGATCAGTAAGTCCACTTAGCATCCCAGATCAATAAGCCCACCTAGCAGCCCAGAATCCCAGATCATTAAGTCTGTAGACCATAGTCCGTGCCCCCTGTGGCAGCCCTGTAGTCGAGCCTCTGCTAAAACACTCAGACAGATAGCAACTAGGGATCATCATTTAGCCTGTGGGGGCCAACCCATCCCAATTGCCCAAAAGTCTAACCCAGCCCAGCCCAGCCCATATGGGCCACGGGTTAGCCTGGCCCACTATTCGAAGGGGTAGGCATGGGGCAGAGCAGTTAAAACCCGGCCCACCCGGCCCATTGGCCTGACCCGTCAAGACTCGTCTCGTCCCAACCTAGTAAGCCCACACGAGCCCAGCCCATAAACCCTTTATATGCTACTTATTCATTTTATAAAAGTAATGAGTAATAACAATTGAAGTATTAATTTTCTTAAAAGATCGGACATTGCAAAAAACTAAGACGCAAGAAAAGGCAATATTGGATTAAGAAGGGGAATATAATACATATATTACTGCATCAAGACAAGATTGGAAGACTATAGTTGATATAAAAGAGAATGAAGTTCTCCATGATTATTAGGTTATAAAAGTTTGTGATAAAGTTTGAAAAGTTTGAACATCTCTATTTTAAGAGTGTACTACCAAAATTTTAAATTTGAACTTAAATTTTGTTATTACATTATTTGAAATAATAAATTCTTTTTCACTGATTTAGTTGATTACATTGTATTGTGTGATAATATAAAAAATTTTGAATTTTCTTGTAAGCATGTATAGGCCCAGCCCTATTAGTGACATGTGGGCCAGTCCGCCCCTTTAAGCCATAGTATATAGACAGGTCAGGGCTGCAATTCTTTTACAATAGCCCAGCCCGGCCCAACCCATTAATTAATTATTTATATTAAGCCTAGCCCGACCCAACCCAAACCCATTAGTTTTGGGCCGATGTGGCCCAACCCAGCATGTTGATGATCCCTAACAACAACAACGATTCAGCGACAGACCTCACAGAAGTCGAAGTCCAACGGCGAGTCGGCATCTCCTTCAGTCCTTTTTCAGTTCTTCCGAGTTCTTACTTGCTGAGTTGCGGTAAACGTACGCCCTATAACCTTGAATATAAGAATTTTTTCTTCTCATTTTATTAATTGTTAATTTTTTGTGCAATTCTATTCTCATTTAATACATTTTTAATTGTATTGTCATCTTAGATTGTTAATTTAGTTTCTTATGATCGTTTTACTTGTAGTATTTCTAGCTTCTTTGACGAAGAATACCCATGTTACTATTTTATAACTGTTTTTTAAAGGTAGTAAAGGGTCAAGCATGGGTGGTTATTCACCGAATAATTTAATTTCTTCTGTAGTTTAATTACTCTTATCAATAATAGTTAAGTTATTTTCTTTCAAAAGAGGTCAGAAATGTTTTTGCTAGAATCGAGAATGAAGTCATAGTGAGGCGATTTGGAGTATGGTGGCTCAAAGACAAAGATTGTCACCTCCAAGGCGAATCATTGTGACTTGTGAGGGCAGGGGTGGGTTCAGCCCAGCCCAAATATTATCTTTTAATTAGTATGGGTACAGGTCCAGCTCATCCCAAAATTAATCCCAAACCAGCCCAAGCCCTGCGACCTTCTTGTGCGAACTGGCGGAAGTTTGGAAGCAGCAGAACTGCGAAGCACGGACGTCGAAGAGGAAGTAGCGGAGCTGCGAAACCGACCTGAGGCCACCAGATGCGCCGCCTCCCGCCGTCCACGCTCCAGTTCCCTGAGTCAGCCATCTTCCCTCTCCGGCTCTCCGAGTGACCGAGTCCGACTCTCCCCTCTGCGGCTGCCTCCAGTTCCAGGTAAACTCTAAATTCTAATACTCTTTGAGACCTTTTTTTATTGATTAAACATTTTATAATTTGTTAAAAATTGTATTATTATGTGAAACATTGTAAATCTATTTGAATATTTGATTAACATAGAGGGCCTGGAGCGACTGTGTTATTGTGTTTTATTTGTTAAACATTGTATTTTTTGTGACTTTGTGTAATTGTGTATTATTTTTTTCAGTTTTGTAAATCTATTTGATCATTAATTGAATTTTTCAGTACATAATAAAATAGCGTTAATTATTATAAATTTATAATGATTCAAGATAAAATTAAAGATTAGAGAGTGATTTATTTTTTATACATTTTTTAAAAAATTCGAAGATTAGAGAATCATTTATTTATTGTGTGGACATGTAAGAAGGAATGACAGATTTCAATTGAATTTTGAACTTAAAAATACTTATTAGTTTTATATACAACCGTCTTTTTTTCTTATTAGTTTATAATTTTATAGAAGTATTTCAATTCATACTAATGTTGAATGTAGAAGTTTCGTTCATAGATTCATGTTCAAATTATTCAATATATACTCAAATCTTTAATAATCATTAAATATTTCTTATATTTGCACTAAAATGTTTAAATTTTGAGATATATACTTCCTCCGTTTCCTTTAAATTGCAACAGTCTACTATTCACATTTGCCATTAACATCTTTCATTTCTTGTTAGTTAAAAATTAAAAATATCAGATTTTGAAAAATTTAAAACGAGAGGAATTTAACAAATAATTTCAAAAAAGTAATTTATAATACAAGATAATGAATAGTCTAAGTCTACAATGAGATGAGACATAGAATGGAACAGATCCAATGAATCCTTCTAGATCACTAACCCCGAAATAATGAAGTTTAGTCTAACTGCCTTGTTGCTCTTCTTGCTACTACAAAGAGAAAATAAAAAATTACAACTTAAAGATTCGGCTTCACCAGCCACCGGAAAAGGAGAATTGGTTTGACCAGCAACCAACAAAGGAAAACCAGTAGAGCGGAAATTTTCTGAATCATCAGTTTGACCAGCCACCAAAAAGGAGATCCAATTGATCATCTTCTTCTTCCCAGAGCGAGGCGATGATTCAGGTGGTGGGCGAGTATTTGAAGCATCGGAACAACAAGGTTGAAAAAGCTTTATCAACCATGAACAACGAAAATTCACCAGATCGATTGCACCGATTAGAAACACGCAACTACTAGACATTGCTAGGAGAATAACATACCACACGCTCACATGAAGCGGACAAAATTCTCGATCAATGAAGAAGCCGGACCAAAATCCTCGAAAATAGAAATTAAAAAAGAGCGGAAGCATTGAAAAACCTTTGATTCGATCTTTCACTGCATAGAGAATGTCACCATCTTCCAAATTGTTTTGCTGATTGAAAAAGAAAAGGTTGAAAATTAGATCTTAAAGGAGGTTGGGGATGGCCGGTTAGGCTTTCCCCTGGGGCCGGCTCTCCAAAACTTCGCTGCTCTCCTCTTGCCTTTGTTTTCTATTCGATCAATGCATTATACACTCCTATTTATTGTTGCACTAATGCTATTTGTACACACCATTGTTTAGGAGAATTGTTTTAACTATATTCATACTCCATCGTGCGGTAACGAAGTTTCCAATTTGTCTTCAACTCTTCACACGTTTTTAGGTAAAATAAATGATGAAATATAATTTCAACGAAAATAGTTTAATCAATCAAATGTTTATTGATCGTAGGAAAGAAAGAAATAACAGTCTTATTGATCTTGAAGAGTCTCCCCTATTACAAGATATGTATAAGAGTATTTATATGTGTTGTATTATACAATTAATGGGAGATTTAATTATTGTAATTAATGGCTCTAATTATAGGACTCTTGTAACATTCCTGTCATAAGTCATATCTCATGTCTTCAATGCCTCCTTTGTGCCCATGACTCTTCTGATGCCACTTAGTACTCGATCAGGTGTATTTGTGTGTTCATAAGTCTGTTCTTCAACGTCAAAAAATGCACACTACTCAATAAAAAATAATAATAATGATATAGCTCAACTAATCGCTTGGAATGTGTAGTTTGAATTTGATATTCGGGATGACTAACCCCGAGATTAGAGTGATACTATATCAATTATTTTTCAGTTTATGAAAAACATAATATCTTTTTATCAAATTTATTTTCGTATATGAAATTATAGAGCACTTAGCTTTTGAATAATTTCTGCCCTGTCAAAATTGATGAGAGCCTAACTGCCATTTGCCTAATGGGTTAGGCCCACGTTGATGTTCACTAAACGGGGAGGCTAAAATCTGCACAGGACTCCAGTCTGAGAATGTCCTCTTCGGAAAGAGAGGAGCCTTATTATCCTTCATACGGCAGAGGAGCTCAGCCCCCGGTTTGCAGGAGACCGTGACTGAAGGGGCTCCGGATTTGAGCAGTGTCTACGAAGCCTCACCGCCAGAGGATTGGAAGAGGGAACCCTTCAATCGCGTCTAACTCCGGCGAGGGGAATTTCCAATACGCAATAGGCAACTGACTCTCCCCGCTACAAAGGGAAGACGCCTCGATCGCCGCCAGCGTGCCAACCCCCCCACCGCGCCTCCGCGCTCGCAGCCTCCATCCTCTAGGTTTTCTGACCTTTCTCTTTTTAATTACAAACTTGGTTGTTTTTATTTAATGAAATTATTGAGTAATTAAAATAATTGTATATTTGTATTTAACAGACTGCTATAAGTGTATAACCGTATAAGTACGCTATTAGGTTTTTGAGTTTATAATAATTTATTGTCTTTAAGCCAATGTTTAAATAAACCTTTAACTTAAATTTTTTGAACATGTGAAGGATTAGATTGTTTGCCTATGTTTTACTTAATTTTATGTTAAATACTCCTTAGTACTCATCACATAAAAATTCGTGTATTTGTCATTATTAAAATAAAAAATTTAAGATGTTTTAAATTGGACTGATTTTAGACCGAGACTTGATCAGAACAGACTTAAATAGACCATATTGGACTTCCACAATGGTGAAATACTCATAAAACACATATCTACCGGATCAGACCACACCCAAAAATAACAATCCAATTAAAAACATCCTTATTTCATGAATCCGGCTTCTTTTTAAATGGTAGTAGATTACATTCAGGGACGGAATTAGGAGGTGCGAGCAGGTGCCGCCGCCCCCGATCGCCGGAGGTCAGAGTGTATATATATGTATGTACATGTATATGTTAAGCCCCGTATTAAGATGATGATAAATATTTAACGCTCTGTAACTGAACTAATAATCCGAGTAGTGCTGATGGTTGAAGACCTCCATAACCTTTGGAGAGATGCGGGTTCGAGTCCTGCCTGCCCTCTTTTCAATTACTACCTTCTAAACTTCCTCTTTTTGCCTCTTACTTTTAATACTTCCTCTATTTTTTTTTGGAATATACTTCCTCTCTTTTAATTACTACCTTTTTAAACTTCCTCTATTTGCCTCTTAAATTTTAATACTTCCTCTCTTTTTAAGTTCTACCTATTAAACTTCCTCTATTTGCCTCTTAAATTTTAATACTTCCTCTCTTTTTAATTACTACCTAATAAACTTACTTTATTTGCCTTTTAACTCTTAATACTTCCTCTATTTGCCTCTTAACTCTTCGGGACGTTAATAGTTTTAAAAAATTTTCACCCTAAATTTCTTTTACTTTTACTTTATATTTCTATTTTTCCAATTTATAATATTTTGTTTTTCACTTTTTCGAATATTGAAATACCATTTACCTTTTCTGTTTAGTACAATAATAGTAAAAAATGACCTATATCATTTTATAAGCAGTTTATTAAGATTTTTTTAATGCGACTTGAATTTTAACATAACTGTTTATTTATTCTTTGGTTAGTACCAATATGTCAAAATTTCTTGTTAATATTTGAAATATCTGACTTTATATGAGTATAATTAGACTTATGTAATACATTTGCATAAACAAAACAAATATCCTTTTAAAAAAAACAACAAGTAACGTTGATTTGAAAAGAGAAAAACAAAATTATTATTTTCTTGATAAGTTAGTAACTTATACTACGTTTTTGTTTAGCTATGTTTCTATTTAAATCTTGATATTTTAAAATAAAAGGACAAGCGTAATAGATATGGAGGGAGTATAATTTACTTAGTCGTAAATTATATCAAGCTGAATATCTTTATTGTTTTCGATATAATAGCTGATGGTCCAGCATAATCCACCGGGCCTCACTAGTATTGTTCATAAGGAATCATCTTAGAATGTGTGGTATAATAGTTTCATGCACCACATTTTTTCCAGTATCTCTTAATCTAAAATAAAAAGAAGTCATCCTAAATAGGAGTAAAAATAAATAAATAATGTGATTTTCCTGATTAGAAGTATTATGTTTGTTGATAGATGTAAGTATGGTTTCTTAAATAGTTTATGTAATGCTTCACAAAGTTCTTATAAAGCTATAATATATTGTATATGCAGTTCTTATAATTAAATTGTAATAATGCATAATTAAAGATTGTTTGTTTTGGTAGCATAGATGAGAATCTAGTAAAATCCCATCTGATAAAACCGAAAATTGGTTGAACAAGAATCTGTTGGAATTATGGCGGAAGTTGTTGAATTGGTTGAATGTGTTTATTTATGAAAAAATACATAAAATATATTTTATTAATGGAATAAAGAAAGATTATATTTTACAGGGGTAGGATTGCGTACATTTGAGCCCCCCACCCCCACCCTCCGTAGGTGGGAGCCTTCGCTACCAGTTGAGCTACGCCCAACGGTAGGTGGGAGCCTTCGCTACCAGTTGAGCTACGCCCAACGGTAGGTGGGAGCCTTTGCGGAACTGGGGTAATGGTGGTGATGATGATGAAATCTTCTTTAATAAGATAAATTTAATCTTACATTCTTACTGTAAGTTTGAGGAATTAATCTTCCTTGAATTATATTGAGCCATGCGGCTGAAGTATTTATACAGAGTATAGATAACAACTATTCTGTTTCAGATCCTAAAAAATAGGATCTATCTATCTGCGTTCTTATCTACTAATTAAAGCTATCTATCAGCTCTAATTCTAATCTATACAGCAACGGATGTACATAGAATAAAAAATACAATAATATGTCACATTTTTTAACACTCCCCCTCAAGTTGGTAAGTATATATCATACATTCCCAACTTGCTTATAAGTAGTTCAAATGCTGGTTTGAACAGTCCCTTTGTTAGAATGTCAGCAGTTTGTTCCTTGGTTGATATGAATGGAGTACACACAATCCCAGCTTCAATCTTCTCTTTGATGAAGTGTCTGTCTACCTCAATATGCTTAGTACGATCATGTAACACAGGATTGTGAGCAATATTGATAGCTGCCTTATTATCACAGTATAACTTCATAGGTAATTCCATCTCCATATTCAATTCTGAAATTACCCTTTTGATCCAAAGTAGTTCACAGATTCCATTAGCCATAGATCTAAATTCAGATTCTGCACTACTTCTAGCAACTACATTCTGCTTCTTACTCCTCCAGGTCACCAGATTCCCCCAAACATAAGTACAATACCCAGATGTTGACCTTCTGTCAGTAACTGAGCCAGCATAGTCTGCATCTGTAAAAGCTTCAACACTTCTATTGTTGCCCTTTCTAAAAAATAATCCTTTTCCTGGACAGCTTTTCAAATATCTTAAGATTCTGTAGGTAGCATCAAGATGTTCCTGGAATGGATTATGCATAAATTGACTCACCATACTAACTGCAAAGGCAATATCTGGCCTCGTGTGTGCCAGATAGATCAATCTTCCCACTAATCTTTGGTATTGTTGAACATTAACTGGAACTCCTTCTTTGACATCTCCTAACTTTTGATTAGGATCAATCGGAGTATCTATTGGTCTGCAAGCACTCATACCAGTTTCATGAAGAAGATCTAGTACATACTTCCTCTGGGACACTACAATCCCCTTCTTTGATCTGGCTATCTCCATGCCAAGAAAGTACTTCAATTCTCCCAAGTCTTTAATCTCAAATTCCTGGCCCATCTTTTTCTTCAAGTCTTCTATCTCTTTATAGAAGTTTCCTGTAAGAATCATATCATCGACATAAACAATTAATATTGCAATCTCCCCCTTACTTGAAAACTTCATAAAGAGAGTATGATCTGCTTGAGCTTGTTTGAATCCCTGTCTCTTTATAAATTGAGTAAACCTGTCAAACCAAGCCCTTGGGGACTGTTTAAGTCCATACAAGGCCTTTTCCAACTTGCACACCTTTGAGCCATACTGACCCTCAAACCCAGGAGGAGGGCTCATGTATACTTCCTCTTCAAGTTTCCCATTTAAGAAGGCATTCTTTACATCTAACTGTTGAAGTGGCCAGTCTAGGTTAGCAGCCAAGGATAGAAGAATTCTTATAGTATTTAACTTTGCAACTGGAGCAAAAGTTTCAGTATAATCTATTCCATAGGTCTGTGTATATCCTTTGGCTACTAATCTGGCCTTATATCTTTCAAGTGTTCCATCTGCCTTGAATTTGGGAGTAAATACCCATTTGCATCCCACTGTTGGTTTGTTCTTGGGTAATTCTACAACCTGCCATGTCTGATTCTTTTCAAGAGCATCAATTTCCTCCAAAACAGCCTTCTTCCACTCAGGTTTAGATAGAGCTTCATGGATAGTTAAGGGAATAGAAATAGAGGAAAGACTAGAGGTAAAGGCTGCAAATGATGTTGATAATTGAGAATTAGACACATAGTTTGAGATGGGGTATTTAACACATGACCTTCTCTCTTTTCTGAGGGCAATTGGTAGATTTAGATCACTAGAGTTATTACCTTTGTCACTTTCTGACACTGAGTCAGATTCATGAGCAGTTGCAGGGTCAGAGATGTTCTCTATTCTTTGATTTGGAACTCTCCTTTCATAAACTTTGCCCCAGAATTTACTTGTCTGCTGCTCATCTCCTTCCCTTGTTTCAGGAATATTTATTTCATTTTCTTCTGATTCTTGACTATTTTCTAGTGCATCTAAAATTCTGTTATGATGTGCATCTAGATTAATGTCAAGAAACTCAAGATTTTCATGAATATGTTGAACAGTATTACCATCTTCACTAGAATTCTCCCCCTGAAGATGAGTATTATTAAAAAAGGTTGATTTTCAACAAAATTAGTGTTCATTGTGATAAACATCTTTTTTGTTGTAGGATCAAAACATTTATAGCCTTTCTGTGTTGAAGACAGTCCTAAGAAAATACATTTTTTGCCTCTAGGATCAAATTTGCTTGCAGTTCTATCAGGATTTGTAACAAAAACTGTGCAGCCAAATGGGAAGAGAGTTAATAAGTCTAGTTTGAGGAAAACAGTTTTGAAGTGTATCAATAGGAGTTTTAAATCCTAGAGTTTTTGAAGGCATCCTATTGATTAAATAGGTAGCATGCAAAACAGCCTCTCCCCATAAATATTTTGGAACCCCAGTAGAGAACATAATTGCACGAGTAACTTCAAGCAAATGTCTATTTTTCCTCTCAGCTATTCCATTCTGAGCAGGTGTATTTATGCAGGAACTTTGATGAATAATCCCCTTTTCAGCAAAAAAATTGTTTACATTTTTAGAAAAATACTCAAGACCATTATCACTTCTTACCATTTTGATATTGGTATTGAACTGAGTTTGGACCATTGAGTAAAATTTTTTGAACACATCTTCAACCTCAGATTTTTCTTTAATTAAGAAAACCCATGTTACTCGTGTGTGATCATCAATAATAGTTACAAACCATCTTTTTCCTTTCAAGGTTGAAACCCTAGATGCACCCCATATATCACTGTGCACAAGGGTGAAAGGACTAGTTGGTTTGTAACTATGAGGGATATAAGAACTCTTATGATGTTTGGCAAGTGCACACATATCACAATGAAATGATGAAGGATCCTTATTATGAAATAATTTAGGAAACAATTTTTTTAAATAATAAAAACTGGGATGACCTAACCTATAGTGCATTAAATACACTTCGTTATTACAAGGAAAGGAAATAGTTTGCAGACAAGTTTTTTCTGGATCTTGTTTATTCAATTCAGTTCCTTCATCAAAGACATATAGTCCATTCTCCTCTCTAGCACTGCCAATCATCCTCCCCGATGCCAGATCCTGAAAAAGGCAATAAGAAGGATAAAATCTTACACAAAACTGAAGATCTTTGGTTATTTTGCTAATAGAGATAAGATTGCAGGAAAGTTTTGGAACATGTAAGACTTTAGAAAGGTTAATGGATGAAGAAACTTTAATATTTCCCATCCCTGCTATGGCTGAAAAAGAGCCATCTGCAACTCTAACTTTCTTATCTCCTGCACAAGGTTGATATGAAGAAAAAAAATTTGGAATGAAGGTCATATGGTCTGTTGCACCTGAGTCAATGACCCAGGTACTTTTTGGTTTTTTAGAACAAAAGTATGATGTAATTTTACCATTTTGGGCAAAAGAACAAGAAGGGTTTTCTTGATTGGAGATTTTCTGGGTAGGTAGAAACTGAAGAAGGTAGTCTATCTGTTCCTTTGTGAAAGGCAGCTGTTTAGAGTCAACCTCTGACTCTTGTTGAGTCTCAGTCACAGTAGTTTGTAGAGCCCTTTCAAATTTCTTCTTTCCAGCTCCTGGTGGCTTTCCATGAATTTTCCAGCATGTTTCCCTGGTGTGCCACAATTTCTTGCAGTGATCACACCAAGGTTTTTTTCTGTCATCACCTCTGGCCACTAAAGCTGATGAGTCCCCAGGTTCCTCATTAGGTACTGGAGTGTTGTTCATGACCCTCCTTCTGCTATCTTCCAACCTGATCTCAGAAAAAACCTCTCTGATTGAAGCTAGAGGTTTTTTTCCAAGTATTCTGCCTTTTACTTCATCTAGGTCCCTATTAATTCCAGCTAGAAACATATAGACCCTATCATTCTCTTCTCTTTTCTTATGTCTTGCTAAATCCTTAGCACTTTCCCATTCTTCATTATCATAACATTGGTCTAATACTTGCCACAGAGATACCATTTCATTGTAGTATGAAATGATATCCCTATTTCCTTGTTTAGACTGCCACAACTTGGTTTTGAGTTCAAAAATTTGAGAAGAGTTCTCCAGATCTGAATATGTTTCCTTAATAGAGTCCCATACCTCTTTTGCAGTTTTCATAAACATATGAGGTCTGGCAATTAGGGTCTCCATGGAGCTGAGAAGCCAAGCTGTTATGAGTGAATTCTCTGACCTCCATGTGTTGTATCCTTCCTCTCCAGGTAATTTAGGTTTGATTTCTCCTGTGAGGTAGCCCAGTTTCCCCCTCCCATCAATTGCGAGCCTGACAGATTGAGACCATTCCAGGTAGTTTGTTCCATTCAATCTATGACTAGTGATTATCATAGATGAATGAATAGGGGACTGGTAATTTGTCATGGAGCTAATTTGGGAGTTAGGGTTGGTAGTGTGTGAGGAATCAGAATCACTGGTTTCTACCATTGTTTTCTTTAAACCGAGGCTTTGATACCATGTAAGTTTGAGGAATTAATCTTCCTTGAATTATATTGAGCCATGCGGCTGAAGTATTTATACAGAGTATAGATAACAACTATTCTGTTTCAGATCCTAAAAAATAGGATCTATCTATCTGCGTTCTTATCTACTAATTAAAGCTATCTATCAGCTCTAATTCTAATCTATACAGCAACGGATGTACATAGAATAAAAAATACAATAATATGTCACATTTTTTAACACTTACATATTATGATTATTATACAATTAAGTGAAATTGATTCTATTCAAGAAAATAATTGATATATAAGCCCAAAATGTGGACCAGATTATCCTAGCTCAACTCTGGAATTTCCCGTTTTAATTTCATTCAGTTTTGTGTATGCTAGCGAAACCCTCAGTAATGGCAGCTACGGTGGAGACTCCGAAGGGTGATGTCAAGCCGGTGATTGTTAGGGTTAAGAGAAAGGCAACACAGTCTCGTCTCGATGCTTTCTGTGAGTTCTTGTTAGGGTGAAATGGTTTTCCCCCTCTATGGTCATTTATCTGTGATGAAGAAAGCATTTGTTATATAATTGCATTGCATCTTTGGTGATTTAAGGGCTTGAAATCAATGAGAGACCATTCAAGCGGCCATTGATTGACTTTGAGAAGCTATCAGTTTCTGATTCCAGTTCTTCCAAAGGTGTGTCAATTCTTCAAATTGCGATATGTATACGTCTGTATGACTGTATCTATATAGTTTTGTCTTTGTGAGTTTTGAAACCATGCGTTCCCAATTGTGTAGAGGAATTGAAGACAAAAAAGGTTTTTGTTCAACATGTTGAGACTGTAATTAGCTCAGAAGTCACTGCTGATCTTGTGCTGTCTTTTGTGGTTAGTATTTTATTTGTCCGTTTTATGATTTAGTCATCTGTTTCCCATTATTTTTCTTTCTTGTGGTTAGTAGTTGTTTTTTAGTTAACTCTGTTTTCTTCTTCATTTGGTTAAAACACATTGTATCAATCATGCTATGAGTTATGTGATGATTTTGTATTCTTAACAGTGCGACTCGACTAGTTCTTCAATAGTCAAAGAGAAAATTGAGGGAAGAAGACACACATTCAAGGCTGACAATGTAAGTCTACTGAGATTTATGAAATAATTACATAAATATGACCAAAATAAAGATGGTTTACAAAAATATGACTAGTTACTAGAGTAGTAATGAAATAATAGTAATTCATGTTCAAGTTTTGAACTTAAGTTACCACAACACTACGTTGTAGTAATGAATAGTCATATTTATGTAAATAAGTTTTATTTTAGTAATATTCTTGTAAAAAATCCGAGATTTATTCCATTGTCTATATGTGAAAATATTGTGATGGGTTAAGTTTAATGGTGTTTGTTGTTTGGTGGCATTTTTTATGTAGCATGTGCAAAGGCAAGGACAACTTCTTACAAAAGCTAAACAAAAACAAGTGGTAAAACTCAAACCCTTCTATGAGTTTATAAGCAGTCAGATGATTAATACCTTTGCCCCCCATATAGTTGGATAAATAAGAGGTCTATAAATTTGCAATTATTGTTGTATATCATACTTCCAGGATTTGTCAAAAAATGCTCGTTTTGAGCAAATATGGAAAAGCAGGCGAGGAAAGGATTATATGCACGATGATGCACTCAATGAGGTGTGCCGACTGTATAATGTTGTTCGTGTTGATACACATGAAAATCCTCATAAATTCCCTGAAGGGTATGTTTCATTTCTTGATGGACAAAGCTGTTATTTTAGTCTATGCTTCATTATATGGAGTATGTTTTTTTCGAAGGAGAATTACAACCTAGATTGTGCCTGTTTGCATGTGCACCATGCAGAGATGAGGAGTTGGAAGATCATAGAATGATGTCACAGTATTTGCCGCTTTTAAGAGAATGCATGCCAAGTGCTGCTGAGGAAATTGAGTCTGATATGCACGACTATATCTCCAAAAGAGGTTTTCCCTATTTTCTTTGTTGGGGTTTTGAGACTTTCCATAAGTTACATTCTTGCTTCTTATGGGGGCTTTTAGATGTCAATCTCTATCTTAAGTTCCATACAACAACATCCAAGCCTTAATCCCAAAAGCATCTTTGAAGTTCCATACAGATATGAAAATGACATGAATACTTCAGTAATGTAGGATGCTCAAGAGTCAAGACCCCCCTGAACAGTTGAACCTAAATACCTAAATAGGACTGGATAACTTAAGGGGTAGACTAATTGACCCAAGCCAATCCTCCAAAGAACTGCCTCAAGCTATTATTCTATTAAGTGTGTGGGCATCCCCACAAACCACCACTGGACCAAACCATGTTAAATTATGTTACCCAAAAGGTTCTTTAGAATATAAGGTTTACCTTATTAGGCTTATACTCTGTATTTATATACTATTCCCAATCCACATTATACAATTGATGTGGAATGTTCAATATTTTCAGTTAATTGTAGGTAATTGATTGGTGATTGTGGCATGGTTGTTTTTAATGTATTGCGTCTGTTTTTTTCAGTGATATCTATTTTATATAAAAAAATGTTTATCAATATTCGCTGAATTTTTTGTCTTTGTGCAGCATCTTCAGATGGGTATGTCTATGATTTCTATGCCATAAAGGATGGTGTTGACACCATGGAAGAAACCACTAACCATTTTCCTCTGTAAGAACTTGCTGCTGTATTCGTAACTTAAACCCCTAGTTTCTCATCATACTATTTATATAAAACAGTGCATTTGATTTTACAGGGTTCGAGTTGATGATGAGGATGACTTCTACGACGGTCCAGATGATCCAGAATATGAAACTGACGATTCTAACGGTATCTCTTATCATATCAACTTTTTTTATTTGCAAATTATGCCATTTGAAGCTCTCATATGTGGGGTTAATATCATTACGTATTTGTATATCTCAGATGAAAACAACCCACGGAATGATTACCCTGAAGAAAACTCATCTGGGGAAGAGGGTGAAAGTGGAACTCAATCCTCAAATGAAGACCAGTCAGATGCTGAGAGCGAATCTTCCTCTGATGAAAGCGGAGATGATATATCTTCTCATAATGGAGAGGGTTTGGATTGCCGTGACTTGTCAGGTGATGGGGATCTGTTTCTTGAAGATGATATGTGTAGCGTTGATGATGGTGAATTGTATGATTATGAAGATCTTGATGAGGAAGAAGATTAGTGGTGATTTCAGAATTAAGCGTGTTCTTGTAGGTAGGTACGCATATCTATTCGTAGTTTTAAGTTTTAACTATACATTATCATGTACAATATTGAATTGTGCTCTGGCTTCCCTTTCCATTAATTCATGCATTGTGGTTAATTGATTATAGAACAGTTGATTCCTACTTTTCCCCCGATCAGTTAGTTCCACGTCCGATTCCAGAACCACAACTTCCGATCTAAAATCTAAATCGGGAAGGATGTCCACCCCAATATTGTCGTGTGCTTGAGGTCATTTTGTTTAAAAATGTGCTTTTGAATCTAAATCGGGAAGGATGTCCACCCCAATATTGTCGTGTGCTTGAGGTCATTTTGTTTAGAAATGTGCTTTTGATAAATGAGGAATAGAAAATCATTTATGCTTGGTTGTACGGAGTCGGGTATTCAGTAGTTGTCACTTGTTTAGATTTTTTGCTCATTTGATATTTATCCTTATAGTTCTAATGATCTAATAGTTATGTAACTAGCATATAGTTCTAATGATCTAATAGTTATGTAACTAGCATACTCGACGTACGGCAGGGGCGTATCCAACGTGGGGGCAGGGGGGGCAGCTGCCCCCACTCAACCCCACCCAACCCCTATGTATATATATCCAATATTTAATTATATATGTATATTTGTTTCTGAAATATAGATATTTGTAATGTTAATAACGCGTTTGTAATTAAAAGCCATGGTGGTAGAGTGGAAGTGTATATACGTGTATAGCTTTGTTACTTCCTAAAGTCCAGGGTTCGAAACCTGTGGGTATTTAGATGTGAGTTTTTTTTTTTGTTTTCCCTTCTTTTGAAGCCTTAGACAAATTTAAAATGGCTTAACATAAAAAATTACTTCGTAACGTATATTCAATAAGGGATATTACCCGAAATAGGACTAAAAAGGTTTCAAAATTCCAAAATAGGACTGACATGTTTTTATTCCCAAAATAGGACTAATTACTGCCATGTTTTGGCAGTACCAGACTTCAAACATGGCAGTATTTTCCAAACTTGGCAGTAATTACTCTTATTTTGGGAATGAAAAACATGGCAGTCCTATTTTGGAATTTTCAAACTGTTTTAGTTCTATTTCGGGAACTTTCCCGTTCAATAATTCAATAAAAAAGTTAGAAAGATTTATACTATGTCAATAATTCAATTTAATCAAAAAAATTGTTTCACACATGATTCATAAAGTTTAACAATTACGTAGATTCTTGTAAATAGTATACACTGATTTTTTAATATACTTGTGAGCTCGTGCGTGTGATAATATATAAGGCAATTTCGCCCCACTCACGAGTTTTTCTGGATACGCCACTGACGTACGGCCTTTCAAGTCAAAATGAAGTTGGAGTGCAAAAGTCGCATACAATTCACAGTGCATGTTCCAATGCTAGATGAGAATTTTTAGTTGGAGAAATTTGAAGTATTTAGAGAAAACTGTCAAATAAGTCTTTACACTATATAAAAAAATGTCAATTACCTTAACTATAAAAACACACCCAATACAGTTTTTTATGTGGTCACTAATAAGTTAGCCGGTTGATCGCTTCGGTGGATGTTGAGGTGGTGTTATTTTTTGGAAAAGTTTACCGTTCTATCTTTCGCTTCCTTCTATCTTCTTCAACCAATCAATCATCTTCCCCTCTTTGTTTTTTACTGTGCTTTTTTGTTACCACAAACTATTTTCTGAATTGCTTATTTCCTGCTTTAGTTGAATAAGATTGGGTGCGGATCTCAAACTTAAGTTTACTCATTTTTTAAATTTGTATCTTTTTTCTGCATCTTTTTTTAGAATGTTCTTCGTATTCCTCAGAGATAGGCCTGGACTCGGGCCGGTCCGGGCCCGGTTCGGGCCTGGGCCCGGCCGGGCCTCGGGCCAGGAAATGGGAGGCCCGGGCCCGAACCGCCGGTGGCCAGTTCCGGTCCCGGTTCCGGGCCAAACCGGGCCGGGCCGGGCCGGGCCGGGGCGGGCCGAACCGGCCCACTTATTTTTTTTTTGTTCTCCTATTTAATCCCCTACCCCTCCCCCTCAACCCCAAACCACCCCAAACCACCTCAAATGGCCCAAAATACCTATTCCAACCCAAAACTTTAAAAAAATTTCAAAAAAAAAAAAAATTAAAATCCGGCCCGGACCGGGCCCGAACCGGCTGGGCCGGTTCACCATTTGGAAGGCCCGGGCCCGGAACCGGGAACCACCAGGCCGGTTCGACCCGAACCGCCGGTGGACCGGGCCACCGGGCCGGGCCGGTTGCTACAGTGGCCGGGCCGGGCCGGTTCCGGGTCGGGCCGCCCGGCCCGAGTCCAGGCCTACTCAGAGATGGAAGGAAGTTTTTGCTAGGAAGCGAGTCAAGGTGATGCTTTCGATTTCTTCTTCTCGTTCAGTCTCTCTTCGAATTTCTATCTTTGCTAAAAACATGAACATACAAGTACAACGAATAAACGATATCTTCTTCTCGTATGCAAGAAAAAACGAATCAGGTTCTATGGACTACGGAGTATTTTTTACTATGTATTTAAAAAATAAAAAGAATTTTTACAATCAACAAAACTCCTATGTTGTAAAAACCGGACCGGTGAGCGACCCGGTCATGTGACTGGGTCACGGGTCTACCCGGACCCGGAGGGTCAACCCGGTCAAAGCTGGAAAACCGGTCAACGATTATACGTCTATATAATAATAATAAACATATAATTATATACACTGTCATTATATATTTTTATTTGTATTGTACATTTATATTATAATTTGGCATGATTTTCATTCTTAAATAAATATATAAATATATTACATATTTTTTCTTTTTAGGGAATTGAAATTGCAATTTTATTGGTTTAAAAAATGCATTAAAATTAAAAAAGAAATTACTTTTTTTTTGGAAAAGATGGAAAACCGGGTTTTCCCGGGTTTTTCGGGTTTCTTAGGTCGGGTCCGGATCGGTTTTTTTCGGGTCAGCTGGGTTTTTCCGGTTTTTGACCATTTTCGAGTTTTGAAGAAACCGAACCGGATTTTTGTCCGGGTCACCGGGTTCCGGGTCAACCCGGCCGGGTCGGGTCGGTTTTTTAAACATAGCAAAACTCGTGAAAATAATCCCTCTGAATTGGAAAATTGTCGGAGAACATGAGAGCAAGCAGAAGCACACAGCTAGCACAGCTAGGGGTAGACAAAAATACCGAACCGGACCAGTATGGTACCTGACCGATGAATGAGGTTTGAAACGGATTTTGAATTTTTTTGTCCAGAATCAGACCGTACTGGTTCCAAACAATGCCATGATGGGTTCTCATAAAATGAGAACCAGTATCAGATTGAACCAGACAAAGTATGGTTTAATTATTTAAATTTGTACTACTATAGTTTTTCTGAAATTTATTAATTAATTCAACCGTCCCAATTTGATGTGCAAAGTTAATATTTTTTAGTCAACCAAAGTTAATGTCATGTCTTCTCTATTGATAATTAATACAATTTTTAATAATTAAATTTTACATATATAGAAATCACATTAAAATCTCTTGCAAATTGCAAAATCCAAATTAGAATATACTTTTTTTGAAAGGTTAAATTAGAATATATTAAAAAGTGATATCCTAATTAAGTGAATAAAAAGGAACTGTTTGACCAAAAAATGTTGGCTTTGCAAATCAATTTCGGATGGAGGTAGTATGTAATACGGAGTATGAAATTTGATAACTTGTGTGGATTTTGAAGGATGATTAAACTTTAATTTTCCCTTAAACACTTGGAAAAAGTGACATTGTTTATTATTGGTATGGCATGGTACTGTCCCGTTTGAAAATGGAACTGTACCGAACCAAACCGTTTCAATAGACACGGTACGGATACGGGTTCGGCAAATTATTGGACCGGACTGCACCCACCCCTACACAAAGCTGGGTGAGGAGAGGAGAGTCCAAGGCATGACCGCCAGAACTTTCTTGCATTCCATTAATTTACGACAGATTTCTTCATCTATAGAAATCGTACGGCTCCACCTCACTCCCTTTTGTCGGAGAAGGACCATATGAAGGGATCTATTGGAAATTTTGTGCGGTAAATTTCCGCCTCGATCAGAGCCCGTTTCTATAAAAGAAATAAAATTACAACATGGCAATACATTTCAATGAACTGACCGAGAGGTGACTGGCTAGAAAGCTCAATTGGGTGTGTTTTGCTATTTCAAGGATTCAATTGTGTGATTTTATTGTAGAAGGACTTAAATGACATTTTTTATGTAGGTTAGGGACAGTTTTCAAGTATTTAAGATAATGTTGAGATGAGTTTCTAACGCATTTGAGTATAACCCTTGAAAAACTATTCAAACACAGCTTCGCTTTACCAAACGCATTTGAGTATGACTTGTAGTTATATAATGCAAATCAAACCAAACCAAGTTGAAATGATTTTATGATTCAGACAGAACCGGATCAGAAATGTGTAAATCCTACACGGCTGAGGTCATGTTTCGCACACAAAAGCCTCTGCCTTCTAGTTTCTCTTTTCTTTAAAAAGATCTTAAAAGACTCTACTTGTATGTTTGACATGACATTTTTTAAGAGCTTTTCAAAAATTAAAAGATCTTTTTTGAGATGCTACCGGGTGTAGCATCTGAGAAAAACTCGTGACTTTTAGTATTAATTAGTCCTAACAACTTGTATACCAAACCAAACTAAATCAAACAGTCAGCTTTTTACCAAACAACTATCACCTTTTCTTTTTAAGATCTTTTCAGTAACTAAAAGCTAACGGTTACTAAAAAGCTCACAAAAGTATCTTTTCAGCTAGTTGTGCCAAACATACCCTGAATATGGGAGGGCCATTCGTGGATAGTTGGATTGGGGTTCGGGAGGGATGTGAGTTTCCTTTATTTCTCACATTAAATCATTGGTTTCGAGATGATTTCTTTCTGTATTTGTTATTCTTTGCATCATTCGAAGTATATGTACGTTCGTAATGCTAACTTGGACTCCTATCCGAGGTTAGCAAGTATGAAGTATCCATACGTTCGATTAGCTTTTATTTATACCTGCTTAGTGACCTTAAAAAATATAAATATTTCCTCAAAAAATTGAGTATTGTCAAAGGGGCGAGTGTTTGATGTCATATTGTCATTGATGATATTAATTAATTAGGAGTTTAGGAGTAAGAATATCCTCTATGCTCATTTGTGAAACCTATACACATTAGAGCAACCACAATGCTACCTTAGTACCTTTCTAGTGAACGAAAAGTGTGCCATGCCATCCATTTTAGACATTGTATATTAAATTTCAGTTCCAGTGCAGGTAGTCTCACGGTGAGTTGGCAAAATAAAATTAAACAGTGTGAAGGGGCACCGTGTGAGTGTAGAAAGCCTGTTTAACATGCTGCCTAGGATATAATTGAAAAATTCCATCTGCTACTCTTCGATTATGATGCCACAACAATGGCCGAGAACCAGAGCACCTCTTCTCCTTCAGCCAAATTGAGGAATCCACACAAAAAAAAAAACACTTGAATGAATTAAAGCGATCTTTTTATTTTCCGGTGGGCTTGTTTGTGGCTCTTCTTTCCCACTCTCTCCAACACTTTGAGTGGATCTGCTTTTTCCTTATCACTACCACCATAGGGTCTTACAATTTGTTACCACATCTTCCACTCATGCCTGCAATAAATATTACTCCGTATTAACAATATTGGAATTAAGGAAGACCAACTATTTGAGGGACGATCTATATGTAGTGAAAGAAAAGAGGTACGAGATCCGATATTCTGTACCAAGTACTCCATATTTAACACGGCAATCGAAAAAGTATTAATATACGGAGTAATAAATTCCACATGGACCCTAATTTGTGTTTTCGGACTTTATGCATTGGAGGCTACCTTCTTATTTCTCCGTCTAGTCACCCACTATATCAAGAAAGCCTTTTTCAAAATGGTCTTTAATAGTACTCAAAAGTCGCTTATGTTCGTTCACATGTCCTTAACAAGCTTCATTAATTAAACTCTCATACATAAACTCTTAACAAGTTTTATGATTCGTATTCTTCTATTTCTTTCGAGAGAAATTTCAATTGTATAACTTCATTTTCTAAAACTGAATACCAAATACAACCCATAATGTTAAATTGAAATATAGGGTATAATACAACTTTGCTGAAAAGCAGTTCACCAGTCACCAGGCCATCAAAAACTTATGTAAAAAATTGATAGTTTAAAGTAAGACAAATTGACGGGATGGATCGAGTGAATGAATAAAAATGAATACGTAGTATAGTAGAAGACAATTTGTAGTAGAATGTTAACTTAATTGAGAAGATTTATGAAGGATCCACAAACGATTAAACATAAAAAAGAAGAAGAATCACCTCAAAAATAGGAGCTCATATCACTTACCCTAAGTAGTGAGTGAAACACATTTTAATAACACTTGTCACCGAATTTCTTAGGATGTTTTCTTTTGGACTGAAATTTGTTGGTCTGGTCTGTTCTGAACTAGTCTGGTTTGGTCTGATAAACGACTGGTCTCTGTATATTTTATAACTATCGAAGTCAGGTCTGGTCTGATCTGGTCTGTTTAAGTCTGGTCTGGGACCGAAAACAGTCCAAAAGAAAACATCCTTACTAAATTGAATAATTAGCAATCCTAACTATATACTCCGTACAAAAGTTAATCAACTCTATGTCGCCCGTCCAATCTGATGTTGCCTTTGATTTTGGGAAATCGTACAAAAGTTAATTAACTCTATGTCGCCCGTCCAATCTGATGTTGCCTTTGATTTTGGGAAAAGGTCAAATACTAGGAACACAAAATAAACAATTTGGGGAAAAGGACAAATAAGTCATCGTATTGAAAAATGACAATTAAACTCTCGTAATAAAAAAATAATCAAGCCCACAAAATTGTAAGAACACAAAATGAACAATTTGGTCATCCACTAGATATATGTTTGGTGTCTCTAAAGATGATGAGTCTCTATGAGCATCTTCAATGTTGAGATGAGTTGTGATTCCACCTCAGTAAATGCACTTATCAAATACACTTGGCTTCTCCAATGCACAAAAGGAAATACACGGTGTATTGTACTTCCTCCGTAACAAAAAAATCTTCCTACTATTCTTTTTCGTCCGTAACAAAAAAATCTTCCCATTTCTCAATCTTTTCATCATACACCCAATAATTCTTAAAATAATACACTATTACAACTACTTTTTTTGATTTATCCTACATTCCATTACATTATTCATCTATCTTCCCATCATACCCTCAATAATCCATATCATCTTTCACTATTCTTAATCTACCTACTTTTGAAATAGGAAGGTTTTTAAGTTAGGAAGGTAGAAGGTAGAAGTTAGTATATGGCATAGAGCAAGGTCTATCAATGGCACATTGGCACTACAAAAAAAAAAGAGAGGAAATGGTGGACCTATGTGTATTATAGCCACTCATTTCTTTTACTCCTTATTTTTCATTTTTTTATCTTGCATTTACATTTGTTGTTCCGCTCAACCTCCATATGAGATGTATGCAATGCACCTTCCTTATTTTTTTAATAGACTTTGTCTATATTTTTGTAATGTCACATGCAATAGATCAAGGACATTGGAGATGCTCTAAATGAGTGTTTTGTAAGACAGTTTTCGAACACAAGATTTTAGTTGCAATCTTTTGTTATAACATGAGGATCTATTTGCCAATTTTATTTATTGATTTTCTAAATATGTTACTATTTCCTTAATTCTTTTTTAATTGCACCCGTCTAATTTGTACATTTGCCAACACACAATTTAATTGTAAATATATCTTATTCTCTATTTGAAAAAAAAAAGATGTTTTAAAAATTTACAATGAAACTAATTGAACAATATTATTTTACAAAATACGAGTAGTTCTCATAAATTAATAAATAAAATGTCATTAAAATAGAGCATATGAATAATCTACGATTCATTATTTAACAAAAACAACGAAGCAAAGTATTTCTATATTTCTATATTAGTTGCAACATTTGGATTTTTTGCATTATTTACACACCTTACTTTGCTACGACTTTCTAATAATATATATAATCAAATTAATATGTATAAAATATTATTAATTTTTAGTAATGTAGATTTTGAAAATATTAACTTTTTTAATGTTTACTACTTCATCCATCCCACTAAGAATGAGACAATCCGATTTAGGGCTGGGCACGGGCCGGGTCGGGGCGGGTAATACAAAATAAAATGGAACCGCCGGTTCCACTGTACGGTCCGGTCCGGGTAATGCACTTTTCAAAATAGGAACCGGACCTTACCCGACCCGTTTGAAACGGGTCGGTCCGGTCCGGGTTTTACGGTTTCTATTCTTAAGTCTTAAAATTAGTAAAAACTCACAAAGTTTCAAAAATCAATAATCAATAATCAATAATATAGTACATTAGCAAGTTTCAAAATAACAACATAGTGGTGCACATGTAACAGAGGCGACAAGTCCAATACTCCATAATTTCATGTATATAAGTTCCAAACAATTAAAAAAGTTCCAACAATCAACAACATAGCCAAAATACATATTTTCTAACATTTGAATTTAAAATGTTGTCTAACATCACATATTAAGGTGATTGTTTTTTTTTTAAATTTTCAGTATTTTAAGAACAATATTATAAAAACAAATATTACAAAATCTTTTTTAACAAACAATTAAATTTCATAGAAAGAAATAATTCAATAACAATAAAAAGTAATAAGAAATTTATGTAAAATTTAATCAATAATTTGATAGCAAAATGATGTTACTGCAACTCAATTTAAAATCCTACTTCTAGCAAAGGAAAACAAAACTATTTCAAAACCAATTATCACAAAACTATTATGGAGTAATAAATTAATACTTGTATACAATATATATAACGGGCCGGGCCGGGCCGGGTACCCGGTATTTTTTTATTTTGGAACCGGCCTGGGTCTTTAAAAAAAATTACCCGGACCTACCCGGACCGTTTTATGGCAACAAAAAATGGAACCGGCCCATTTTGGACCCAAACCACCATTACCCGGACCGGACCGCGGTTCCAAGACCCGTTTGCCCACCCCTAATCCGATTTACGATGTTTGATTGACGATAAAGCAAACAGATCTCTGTCCGCATTCACATTATTTAAAAAGTACATATTCAGAAACTAAATTAAAAGTTTTACAAAGCCGCAAAAATCAAAATCAAACTTAACAAAAATTTGATATACTACCGTATAAAGTAACCGTATAAAGTAAGAGATTAAAAGTGATTTGTATTGACCAAGTGAATAAAAATGATACTCCCTCCGTCCCAAAATGATGTTCCCGTATTTCCTTTTTGGGATGTCCTAAAATGATGGTCATGTTTCCCTTTTTGGAAAGAAAGATGTGGTCTACATCATTTCACCTTTTTCTACTCAAATCTCAACCACAACTTTTACCTTTTCAACCACTTTATTTAAATTTGTGCCCAAAAGAAATGAGAGCATCAATATATAGTTAAATATAATTATTAAATGGTAATTCTATGGTAGCCATAAGGTTATTAAATATAATACATATCCGTCCCCTAAATATAATTATTTGTGTCGTTGAAGTTAATTCTCTACTTTAAAGTGCAAGTACCGCAAATTTTAAGGAAGAGAATGTATGTAGTATTTTCTCGGTACCGAAGTACTTATTAAAGTTCTCGCTCTCCTTTTCAGAATGTCCCTTATTTAAGTTCTCACTTTCATTTTTGGAAACAAAACAGTGCAAAACAGTGTCAAACAATGCTAAACAGTGCCAAACAGTGCACTCTACCGTAAAATCAAATTTATTTTCTTAACAGTGAAGTAACTTTAATAAGTCGTTTGACTCATTCACCATACAAAGCATAAATCTGCGCCCATCTTCCCTATCACAAATTCCCTCTTCAATCTCAATAATTTCGGTCTGATCTGTCCATGAAAATGGTGTCCAAGCTTGGCACCTGGTTGGTACCTGTCTTTGTGATTCTGTTGGTGGGGATGTCCACCGCATCTGAAATCACCGCTGAAGAAGAAGAGCTTTCTTCCATGGTGGAGCGCCACGAACAATGGATGGTGCGCCATAATCGTTCGTACGCCGACGAAGCCGAGAAGGCCAAGCGATTCCTTGTGTTCAAGAAGAACGCGGAGTTTGTCGACTCTTTCAACAAAGGCGATCATTCTTACACACTGGGTCTCAATGACTTCTCCGATTTGACCGACGATGAGTTCACCAGTTCAATGATGGGTAACGAACTTACAGATCTCAGTAGTGATTAATCAGTGATTCGATTTCTTGGATCTGGGTTTTACTTCACTTTTTGACTTTTTGATGTAATTATCGTGATTAGACAAGTGTTTTTCATTTACTACTCCGAAATTCCGGATGAAGAAATACAGTTCTCATTCTGTAATTAGCTAATTACGGAGTAGCTAATTTGGTACTCCGTATCTGGTAAACCGCGGTGCCCTCCCTCTTTAATTATAGTATGATGATAGATAGTATGAACGTATATTTTCTCTGCAATTTGGTACCATTTCTATGGATATGATACAATTTGCAGCAATTCTACATGTCTTTTCATAGTATTAAGGCCCCGTTTGGATGAGCAATCCGCCGATTGTTTTGAACTGCAAACCGCTGCAATTTGCAGCGGGTAGGCAAGAATCCGCCGAAAAACAAACGCAGCCTAAGTTTGGAAGGCCTCTTAGCATTTCTTTTCCGCATGGACGAATGGAAATCAAGACGACTTATGTTTGGCACTATGAGTTCAAAGTGGGGGCTAATGTATGAAATTTAGGCTTCTCTTTGAATTATGAATTATTGTATGGGGATTGAAATTTGAAGTGTTTGAAACTAAACTGCTAGCGGAATGAAATGGATTTGGTAAAAAAGTTGAAAGAATGACTGAATAATATGGTATGAAATTTACATTAAAGTGCATATAATTAATTATTAGGGAGTAGAATAAAATATCTATACCAAGGAAGAAATCTCGCATATTCTTGACCGGAATAGCAAGTGGGACTAGGCCTGGACTCGGGCCGATTCGGGCCTGGGCCCGGCCGGGCCTCGGGCCAGGAAAGGGGAGGCCCGAGTCCGAACCGCCGGTGGCCGGTTCCGGTTCCGGGCCAAACCGGGCCGGGCCGAAACGGCCCAATTTTTTTTTTGTTCTCCTTTTTAATCCCCTACCCCTCCCCCTCAACCCCAAACCATCCCAAACCACCTCAAATGGCCCAAAATACCTAATCCAACCTAAAACTTAAAAAAAATTCAAAAAAAAAATTAAAATCTGGCCCGGACCGGGCCCGAACCGGCCGGGCCGGTTCACCAAAAGCTGGGCCCGAGCCCGGACCGCCCAGCACCCGGGCCGGGCCAAACTGAACCGGTGGACCCACCGGGCCACGGGCCGGGCCGGGCCAAACAGTGACCGGGCCGGTTCGGTCCCGGGTCGGGCCGCCCGGCCCGAGTCCACCCCTAAGTGGGACAAATCTCATCTTCTCAAATTCTCTTAAGCATCTAGCTCAGACCTTACCCCAAACAATGATTGTCCAGGTGAAGAAAAAAATGCATCGAATGAATGATCAATATAGAGAATAAATTCATAGAAGAAGGGATAATAAGCGAAGAAACACAAAGAAGAATGAATTAGCACGGACAAGAAATCAAACGAAGAATTTTGCGATTAAGGGGTGATGGTAGTGTGCAGTGAAGAAACCAGAAGGATATTTTTAGAACAAGGGTGGATTATTTTGCATTATTTAATTTATCTTGTGAATTCCGCCAATTTCAAACATAGAAATAGAACCTACTGGCAAGAGTCAAAAAGATTGTTTTTGTTTCTACGACTATTGGGAACAAAGCAGGAAGAACGGTTTAGTATTCATTCATATTGCAATAGCAGTCCTTCAAAAACCCCTCCTTGCCATAGGAGATTTCATGAAAGGCTTTATCACAGTATTAGTTTAACCTTAATAGTACTTGTTTTGAGAGTGAATGTTTCATTTTAAGCTTAAAGTGGTCAATTTTGTGTCTAGCTGAGTCAAATTTATGTAGTTTTATGAGCTAAACAGATACTTTTACGAGCTTTTTAGTAACTGTGAGCTTTTAGTGACTGAAAAGATCTTAAAAAGAAAAGGTGATAGCAGTTTGGTAAAAAGCTGACTGTTTGATTTAGTTCGGTTTGGTATACAAGCTGTTAGGACTAAATTAAACTAAAAGTCACGAGCTTTTCTCAGATGCTACACCTGGTAGCATCTCAAAAAAGATCTTTTAATTTTTGAAAAGCTCTTAAAAAATGTCATGCCAAAAATACAACTAGAGTCTTTTAAGGTCTTTTTAAAGAATAGAGAAGCTAGAAGCTAGAGTCTTTTGTGTGCCAAACATAGCCTACGTGCTCCGTAATAGATTTGTAACAGCCGTTTGAAGATTATTTTTCATATTTTAAATATTAATACGTAGTACGGAGTATAAGTTATTTATAATACAAAAGGAAATGAAACCTACCCATCGAATGATTTGCACATGAAGTACCTGATATCTGTCTATCCTATTTCTTTTTTGGCCGTGTTTGGCATTTATCATTTAGCGGATAACGAAGAGCGAATTGTGTTAGTAGGTTGTCAATTGTGAATTCTGTCATCGGGTTTGATTAGCGGAATAAGTTAGCGCATTGTCAAAAGATATTTGACAATTTAGTTGTTTGACCACAAAATTAGTACGGAGTAGAAAACACAATATTTTAAAACGGTAATCCAGAACTTTCTTATTTGCAATGTTTCCATTTCAATATTTTCGTCCAAAAACGCTAGGGTCAAATAACTATTTACCAAACTATCTTTTCACATTTTGAAAACGCTAAAAGTGATCAAATCAATTACCAAACATATCTTATAAACGTAATGACAGTTTCGTTATGAATAAAAATACTGGTGTGTTTTTCAAGGAAAAGTTTTTTGCGTTTATGGTACTACTATGGTATATCCGTAATTCCGTATGGATGAATTACCAATTTTATTAGAACACAATTACTGGGATCAGTTTGACGGCTATACGTAAAAGTTGAGGTCTCATCTCCAACACACTTTTTGTAACTGATGAAGCAGTCCATTTTTGCGCCCATGTGATCTCAGATTCCGAATCAGTACTGACCATTGTCGTCTACCACCAACTCTTCTGTCCTCTTCGAATATTCACAATTCTCCCCCGTCGTTTCGGTCTCTGTCTATCACAGAGAGAGAGAGTAAGGGACTGAGCGAGCACTGCTGGGTTGGCGTTTTATTTCTCGATCGGAGAAGATGAAGAAATTCTTCATCTCAGCCGGACGGACGGCGGCGTCACCATCAAAACCTTCCTCGATCGCTCCCCGTTCTTTCTCCACTCTCAGCGCGTCTCTCCAAGAAAATGTCCCTGTTCTCCCCAAAATGCCCCCCTTCGGTTACACTCCGCCTCCTTACACCGGTCCATCCGCCGCCGAGATCCTCCAGAAGCGCCAGCGTTATCTCAACCCCGCCATCTTCCACTTCTTCAAGAACCCGGTGAGCTATAAATTTCCCACTTCAGGAAAAAGATCGCATTTTTCACAAATCATTTTTTTCTTTTTGTTTGCGTTGTGCAGTTGAATTTGGTGGACGGGAAGATGCAATACTTGTTCGACGAGAACGGGCGACGGTATCTGGATGCGTTCGGAGGGATCGCCACCGTGTGTTGCGGCCACTGCCACCCTGAGGTGGTGGAGGCGATTGTCAATCAAACAAAGCGTTTGCAGCATTCCACTGTATTGTATCTCAATCACACAGTCGCGGACTTTGCAGAAGCTCTTGCATCAAAGATGCCCGGTGATCTCAAGGTCCAGCCTTTACTTTCATGCTCAATTATCTAATACGGAGTAACAAACCAGAGCCTTCCGTTTGGTGACCATTTCAAGGGCTGAAGTTACTGCAAATTATTCTAGTTATTTTCATATGATTTCAAATTTATTTTATTAATAAATATATTTTAAATATTTTTTTTTCATGAATCAATGGAATCAGTCAATCTAGTCACTTATTTAAGAACTTACTACTATAAATTTGAGCAGACAACAAATAGACAGCATAATCAACCTATTCAACCTATTCATCCAATTTCAATGTTACCAAACAGACTTTTAAAATGCTCTGTATTGGACACAATTTAAATTTGAAACAAGTATACTCTTGAATTAAATAATACTCCCTCCGTGCCGGAGACAAGTTCTCACTTTCCTTATTTGGATGTCCCAAAATAAACTTCCCATTTCCTTATTTGGCAAATTATCTACATCAAAACAGTGTCAAAGCAGTAAAATTTACCCCTCATTAACTTTATTTCCTTAAAATGTGTGAAAGTCAACCCGAGAACTTGTTTACGGGACGGAAGTAGTATAAAACTTTTTTTGGTAATAATTAAACTTACACAATGTAAAGTTCAATCAAGTATACACTCTTGAACTCTATAACAAAGACTTTGACTTAGACCCCTCAACTATTAGATATGTTCGTAATGCTACATCCCTTCTTTGATTAGTAGCAAGACTTTGACTTTTACATTATTCCCCTACTTTTCTTTATTTATGTATTAAAAAAACACATTATAAGAGCTTTTGTTATATTTTCTAAATGTAAAATTTCAGGATATTGTTTTTACTAATTGCCAACTGACTGTACGTCTGTACTAATAATTAAATGTCGTGCATCGAAACACGAGAAAAGTCAAACTATCACAAACAGCAAATTTATATAATTCAAGGGATTACTTTGTTCAATTTTTATAAATTTTGTGTTTATTTGCTCAAAAAGAAGGTTAGAATGATATACATGTGCTATGACACATAGTTTTATCTGTTCCTTCATCCTTACCCTTAAAAACCTGCAATATACGAAGTATATTAAAGAAATGGGAAAATATTTATTTCCTGATTCAACAAAAATCTGAACGCATTCACGGGTTTTCCGATAGTTAGTATTTGTTAGAATATGTTTCTGATAACAAAATCCATGCCAACCAAATGAGCTCATTGTCTTTGTTTGTAACTTTGTACATTTTCATATCTCTGAAATTTTGTTTTTGTGTTTTTTCTTAAAGGTTGTTTTCTTTACCAATTCTGGGACAGAGGCCAATGAACTGGCCTTACTAATGGCCAGGTTGTATACTGGTTGTCAAGATATTGTTTCAATAAGGAATGGTTATCATGGCAATGCATCTTCTACAATGAGTGCTACTGCCCAATCCAACTATAAATTCAACATAGTGCAGGTACATATAAATGCCATTATAGATTTTTAATTAGCATTTCTATAATTCCTCAAGTGGCATAAAAGAACATATTACTTTAACTTGTTTTTATAATCAACAGACAGGAGTGCACCACACTCTAAATCCAGATCAGTATAGGGGTATGTTTGGCTCAGATGGACCGAAATATGCCAGGGATGTTGATGATATTATTACTTATGGAACAACGGGTCGCGTTGCTGGTTTTATTGCTGAAGCCATACAGGTATTGTTGTTGTACTAATATAAGCCTATGACAGCCATGCTGTCACAGGCTATTTTTGCACACATCAGTTCTGGACCAGAACTTCTGGAAGTAGGAAAACCAGAACTGGTTCGGTTTTCTGTGGCTCCAGTTCCAATTCTTAACCCTTTTTCTAGTTTTTATGATAGAAATAAAAAAATATGCAACTGGAACCATTTTAATCTGGGTCGGTTTCCTGTTTCCTCCTTTCTGGTTCTGAACCGGAGCATTGTCCATCCCTAATTGGGCGTGATCATGGACCGAATCTAGAAGAAAAGTGGTGGCATGCTTGCTTTAAATAGTTTAGTGTACATCTAGTTGGTTTTAAGGAAATTACAATCATTAGCTTCAGCACATGATATGTACTTGAACATATT